ATTAAGTATGTCGACCCGGTTTGGATCTCACCCAAAGAATCAAAGCAACAACAATTATGTGCACATGCCTATTTAATATCTTACGGGTTAAGAGCACGTAATAATTAACTGTGGCCTAGTTCATTTACGACGATCAGCATAAAACGAACATCCCTCTCTGGGATACTGTTCAATACATAAATGTACTAGTGCAACTAATCGGTCAAGACAAACCATACGGTTGACACTACAATCGTTCCGATGGGTTGTTCAATTCCATCTAGGTTGTGAGCCAACGATTCTTGTTTCGCAAGTAACTGATATAGTGATCTTCGGTATGCCCGATGACGACCCACTTATCTACATGCAAAACAACAGAACGCGCAACTTATTTAACCAAACATAATTCTCATTCATCAAGAAATAACAAGTGAAATCTCCACTAAAGCAAAGCTTAAGTATATAACACCAACACTCACGACATCCCCATTGTTCGTGATTTTGTGGACGTGTTCCCAGATCAGCTTCCCGGAGGTCCACCTAGCCGACAGGTGGAATTTTATATCGATCTTATCCCTAGAGCTGGACCCGTTTCCAAGGCGCCATACAGAATGGCACCTAAAGAATTGCAGGAGTTAAAGACCCAAATTCAAGAGTTGCTGAATCTCGGTTTTATTCGACCGAGCGTCTCACCTTGGGGAGCACCCGTTCTCTTTGTTAAGAAGAAGGACGGATCTATGCGTATGTGTATCGACTACCGGGATCTCAACAGGTTGACGATCAAGAATAAATATCCGCTTCCCAGGATCGATGATTTATTTGACCAGTTGAGGGGCACCTGCGTGTTTTCTAAGATTGATTTGCGTTCAGGCTACCATCAGCTGAAAATCAAGGAGTCAGATATACCTAAGACAGTGTTTCGTATGAGATACGGTCATTTCGAGTTTGTGGTTATGCCGTTTGGCCTCAATAATGCCCCGGCAGTATTCATGGACTCTATGAACCGTGTATTCCATCCTTTTCTCGACCAGTTCGTTATTGTATTCATTGATGATATTCTTATCTATTCTAAGAGCCAGAAAGAGCATGAGGAGCATCTGAGGGCCGTTCTTGCGACCCTTAGACGAGAAAAGTTATACGCAAAGTTCTCCAAGTGCGAATTTTGGCTTCAGCGAGTGGCTTTTCTTGGCCACATTATCACTCAAGCAGGTATTGAAGTAGATCCTTCCAAAATTGCCGCATTGCAGAATTGGTCAGCACCAAAGAATCCTTCCGAGGTTCATAGTTTCCTCAGCCTTGCAGGCTATTATCACATATTTATTGAGGGTTCTCGAAGATTGCCCTCCCTTTGTCCCAGTTGACGAGGAAGTCTGTGATGTTTGAATGGACAGACCGTTGTGAGTCGAGTTTTCAAGAGCTGAAAAGGAGACTTACGACGGCACCGGTGCTGACTATTCCCGATCCTTCTCGGAGTTTCACCATCTATAGTGATGCTTCGAAGCGAGGTTTGGGGTGTGTACTTATGCAGGATGGCCAGGTTGTAGCATATGCTTCACGTCAGTTGAAGCCCCATGAGCAGAACTATCCTACCCATGACCTGAAGTTAGCTGCAGTGGTACACGCACTTAAGATATGGCGGCATTATCTTTATGGCGGTCGATGTGAGATCTACACCGATCACAAGGGGCGCAAGGCCTTAAGTACCCATTTAAAGTTCTGGTGGAGGCGCAAGGCCTTAAGTATCCATCAGAGTGTGCACATGGCGGACATTGTGTCCGAGACAGCTCAGCTCAGTTACAGATCTTGTGTCTGGAGATTACAGTTTACTTATTCATACCTGCAGCCATGATATTGTTATTATTAATGTTTAATTTAGTATGAGTTTCTGTGGAACACAGTGGCTTTAGTACTCACGCTCCCACTTTATAATGTTTTTCAGGTGACAGGGTCGGTCAGGAGGAGTGAGTGGAGCAGGTGGTTGGTGGTTCAGTAAATATGTTTTTGCAGACTTATGATATCTATATTATTTACTGTTTTGACTTCCGCTGATGTTTTCAAACTTTCAATCTAGCATGTAGTTTAAGATTTTGATCCGCACCTTCGAGTCGGATTTTTACAGAATGACGTGATAACAAAGGATAATCTGTTTTTCCAAATAAGTTCAGTAACTAAGTCAACGGATTTTCAGAAAAGTATGGTAATTTAGTAGCATCCCAAAACATGTTTTCGCAAACCAATACATATTTCTTAGAAAGGAAATTGTGAAAATCGCACTCTGATTTTAATAAGCTAGTGGGGTGTTACAGTCTGCGTTCCGCGCGTGCGTGTCCATCACCTCAGCCTTGCCTAGTACCGTGCGAACTAGGTCTCTCGCGCTTGCCCCACAATCGCGCGCTATTGCGCGCGCCTCGCACCCGTCGCTGGTCCCTTGCGCGTGTGCACCCGCGTCCGTCATTCCTAAGCCCGTGCGGCTTAGGCTTCGCGCATCTGCCTTGCAATCGTGCGCCTCCGCGCGCTTCGTGTCCCTGCTGGTCTCCTCGCGCACGTGCTGCCGCGCGCCCGCTACTCCCACTCCTACGCGGTATAGGTCACCGCCCGCGCTGCTGCTCCACTCGCTTGCTAAGGCGCGCACTTCGTCGTTGCTGCCCAACTGCCGCGCGTCCTCGCCACCCGCGCAAGTGCTGCGCACGCCCCTCTCGTCCGTGCCGCTCATGCTGTCGTCCGTGCATCCGCGTATTGATCCATCTTTTGCGTGATCACTTGAACATCTGCGTGCACCTCGTTCCATCCGACTTCCAAATGCCAACGCGTCCCAGTCGACCTCCGCGCCTTTCTCGACTGCCGTGCATCCACATGTATCCTACTTCGTCCAACCGCGCGCATCATGGGCCGATGCGTGCCATTCGCCCATCAGCCGATCACCGTCGTCCTCTTTGTTGCCGCCCTTCTTGGTCGGCTCGGGCCATGGATCCCAATCCATCAACCTTACACAATCTTCTACCGGTATCCACCACCCTTCTTCAACCCATCACAAACCTCGCCTTCTAGCCTCCTTCTTCTTTGCTCGCCTTTTCCCCGCACAAGGCTTGCACCAACACTTCCCTTCTTTAGCCTTTGCCTTGTGTTTCCTTCGAGCTTGCCTGGCCTTATGTTTCCTAGACTTCACCCTTAGCTTCGGACCACATCATTTGGCCAGTCTCTTACACATGATGGCCGATATATTGGACTTGTCGGCTCCTCCAGCATGTTTTCCAGCCATATGTTGAGATCGTCGCCACCTTCATCATCCGACTCGCCTGGGTTGATGACCACTTCCGTATCATTCCCCTCCTCTTCGAGACTTTCCTTGTCCTCAAGGATTAGAAAATTCAGCACACCTTCATCACCATGATCTTGAACATCGATCACCATTGCTTCTCGGGCTTGTACGAGTTGTCGCTCGTACTCTTTGATATTCCTTCG